TGGCACTTTAGACATGCGAAGTACAAAAAAATGTGGCGTCACAAACGGGACGCGGACCTACTACTACTACTACTACTACAACTACTACAACTACTACAACTACTACAACTACTACTACTACTACAACAACAACAACTACTACTACTACTACTACGTCCTACTGTCTCATTGCCACTTCTTGATGCTGTGATGAGTCCTCGCTGTCAAGGAGCTCTTGAAGCCTCTTCAGGTCCTCCACCTTCCGGAAGGCTTTCGGCAATATGGGAGCCAAGGCAGACGCCTTGGGGGCCTGTGGGAGCCCATAGGCTTGACAGGTAAGAGGACGTTAAGTTTGAGATGTTAGGGGCCTGAATAGCAGAATAGAGCTAGTGGCTGGAGATAAAATCACAGTATAGGTATGCAAGGAATACGATGGAATGATGCAAGTAGGCATCTAGGCTACTGAAAGAGGCTTGAGGAAGCTGGAAATTTGCTGGGGCGCTGCCTCAGTTGCTCCTGATCTTTGCTGTCACGTCCAAGTAGTTCTGACCGAACACATGGCCCAATCTGTTTCAAATATCTAGGTCCAGAAATAAACTCACACAGTTTCACGCCTCATGAGGCGACACTTCTCACCGAAGTTGAATGCCAATTGCACCGCATCAAGGGGTGGCCCGTGGCAGAATAAAGAGATGGACAGGTGACTTCACGGGGGGGTCAAACACCGTGCGCTTCAAGTGCGGGATCCTTAGGAGCTGTTTGATGGCTTTAGCAGGGCACGGTTGAAATCCAACACGGCGCTTTGCCAACAAGCTCGGCAAGCTCCAGCACACATTGGTGCCATGATGCTTTGCTCCCCAATGGCACGCGCAAGACTTGCCAAAGCCTCATCCACATCCCACCATTTTGTCAACCTCAGGCACGAGCAACTTAGGTGAACTGAATACCGGCACTGATCAAGGGAGGCTGTGGCCGTGGCACGGCCACCCGCAGCCCGTTCCTTACGCCCCGTGTCACAGCTTGAAGAATTGAAGCATGCAGACAGGAGGGGCAGACCAAACAACTTGCACATTTTAGGGGGGTTTACAAACCCTTGGCCTCTATGTGAGGTCGCCATTGTTGGGGTCCAATCTATGTGGGCATGGACCCCCTAGTTACCCTACTTGCTCGAATTTCGAGAAGCGCCCTCGGCCCACTTAGCCTGAGACTCCTCCAAGCGCTTCTTTGTCGCTTCAAAAGTTGTAGGCCTCAGCTCTTGTGACAAAGTCTATTAAGAAATGTTATGACAGTTGTGGTAACAGTGACGTTAAAGCATGAACTTGCAGTCCTTCATACTGTTGCTAGTTTGATTCCCTCTGCCCCTCTGGCCCCTCTGGTTTCAGCCTTCCAAGGCAGAAAGCTATGGATACTAGGTGACGTGCTGGCTCCAAGGTAAATCCTCAGCAAGCACGCAAAAGAAATCTTCTGCAGTTTCCTTCTCAGTGGCAATCTGCCCAACATGGAAGTTTTCGCGGATGGTCTGACATCCCAATCGCTTTGAACACGCATAGGCAGAATTCAGCTGAGGAGGTGGCAGCTAGAAGTCCAGGTGGGCAGCTCTTCAAAGCCAAGAGATCGTACCTTCATAAGACAAAGAAGTGTGGGGAGGGCTAAGTTTGAAGATGAGCTGGGAATAAACCCACTCAATCTCATCTTGTTTTCCAGGCCAAAATCAGGAAAACACCTCCTGCCCACCCCTCCCCCAGCTCAATACACACAATCGTAAACTCCCAGGAATCCTCAAATTGCAGAACTCAGAATGCACTACTTTCCATATTCTTTTTCCCTTCCCCTACAATTTACCCCCATATAATCCCTATCTAACCCTGCGCGACCCCTTTACACCAATTTGCGACCCGTTTACACCCATGTTCAACTCCGATATTATCCCCGTAGAACCCCATTTCCATCCCCACATACCCCTCTTTTCACTTCATCCCCAAAGAACCCCTATGTCATCGCTATATAACCCCTATATACCATATATACCTTACACATCCTTACACAGCTGAAGAATGCTGAAGACACACTCAAAAAATGGCTGAGGCCCGCACCCTCCATCTTCGGAAGGTCCCAGCCTTGGGGTCCAAAAGCTCTAGGGCAAACCTCCAAACCTGGGGTAAAATGGGGGGGTTATGTCTAAGGGCTACATAGTGGTCATATAGGGGTTATAGGGACATCACCCAACATATAGGGATACTGCAAAATAAAATAACCGCAGTTACATATAATCATATCTTTTTCTATCTAGAGCTCATTTTGACCTCCTGAATGCAGTCAGCCGAAGGCCGACCACAGCTGAGGGAGTCCCTGGTTAACCTTCCACTTCTGCATTCACTAGGGTTTAGGGTTTGGGGCCCGGCAAAAACAGGGATTAAGGCCAATGAAATTATAAATTCGTTTCAAACCTACCCCTGTTCAGACCTTGTGATGCTCCGTGGTCCTCTCTGAGCTGCCAAACAGTGTCATGAGCTCCTGCGCTATGATTTAGGGCTCAGGGCTTTGGATTATATAGGGGTATCCCTAATAATGGAGAGCCAAATGAAGAAGAACACGGAAGATGACATGCATACTGGGTTTATATAGCCAACAACTGGCCCCCCCACCCCTCGGAAAGTCATCCCCCTACTACATGGGTAGAGTTAAGGGGGCGATTAGACGGCTCCATTTTCAAGATCCTTCATGCGGGGTCTGCAAAGCTCCTACAGCCTGGGCTTCTGACACTGCATCATGGCCGTCGAGCAACGCTTTCCTCACGGCCGGGCAAGCCTAAGACTCAACATCCCTATGTTTACACATAGGTATATGCTCATGTCTTTAAGGCGCACATGCATGTCATGTATATAGTCAAGATTATCTCACATAATTGATGGACACAGGTTCCTATGAGAGAATATATTGGGGACTATTCTAAACTACCATAGGGACCCCATGTCCACCCTTAATGGTCCCCAGGTAAGCCTAATATTGACAGTAGCTCATGTGTGTACGTGAGGTCCTGAATGCCAGGTGCAAATATCGTGGGCCCATGAAGCGAAGATTGGAACACTCTGGCCTGGTTTCCTCAAGTCTCTGAAGTGGTCGACCAGGACCTGCACAAAAGCAATTGCATCGAAAAACAAAACGGCAATGCTGCATTAGGACCTCTGCCTACCCAGGAAACATCAGTAACACTCTATATAATTACTCATCCCCCCAAAGCGAGCACACTGTTGGCAATGTACTCATCTCTGAGACCGAAGCTATCTGCCCCGAGGCAGATGGTTGCCTCAACACACAAGTGCTTGGTTGCCAAGGGCCGGTGTAAGGAAAGCATGCCCAGCCAATGCTGCCATGCTGGCCACTGGCACAGCCAGCTTTGGCACCGCATGTGCTGGCAGCGTAAGTATTTATTAGTTCATTCCACTACGACCTTCTAGGTTGCGGTCAGATTGTCTGAGCCAGGCACATCAGCCTGTTCCAAGCCTTGTCTGACGATGCCCTTGGGATGATGCAGGCACTGCTGTTGGCCTGAAGAACGGCAAAGGGCCTCTATCTTGGCCCCGAGATCTCCGTCAGGCTGCCGCCAGCCTCCACAAAGTCTGGCAACTCAAGTTCGCTTTCCCTCAGGGCCAAGCAGAATCTGAGCAAGGGGCGTGGCACGGCAGCTATTTGCCTCTGATGCGCCGTCGACACTTTGCATATGCATTTAGGCTTCAGAGACGTCCGAGCAGCGCTTCCGACGGAAAGGCGGCAGGCCTTGGAAAGGCTTGAATTGAACATGTCGGAGCTTCCCAGACTACACCTGCCACCATTTCATTTCCAGTGCCACGCATACCGCGTCTGAGGGTGCGGCGGAAAACTGGAAGGGTCCATACCATCTTCGGTCGTTGCCTGCAGCCATTCGGCACCCACTGGCGAACCCCAAAACCCTGAGTCCCTCAATCTGGGTCCTCACAAGAGGTCCTACTTGGTCCTACTTGGTGGTGTTTGGAGTCTACAGGCTACCGATGGCAACGTGGGATCGTCAACGCTTGCCCGACTAGACTCTGTTCAAGAATGCGTTTCCATCATGGCCCAAGGCCCGAACCAGGACTGGGTAAGCCCAATCAATGTTCGACGCCATGAAGATGAAGTCACTAATGAAGGCCTCGAACAGAACAGAGGAACCCCAAGATACTAGAACCTTTCTTGTAGAGACCCAAAACTGGAACCCAAAACGCCCTAAATTCTGGAAACGTTCGCTTCTGGAGACAGCGTGACACAAGACAGCAGCAGCCAGTTCTGGAGAAGTCCGGGGACCTCACTGTGGCCAGCCTTGAACATTTTTTCTTCAAATCAAGAGCGGCCGAGAATTTCACAAACTTACGGAGTTCCCAAGGACAGCTGAAGAAGGCAACCTGCATGCAGCATCATCGCCGATGCTTGCGGCTAACCGGGTCTTCGCCTACAGGCGCGGGCTTCTTCAGCAGACAGCACATGCAAGCAATGCCTTCTGTAGCTGGCAGAATACATACTGCCCGTGGCTGTTAGCAAACCACTCAGGCTCGCACACGCCCAGGCCTCAAGCAACTGCGGTGTGTGGCACAAACCAGAATCTGGCAACGGCATGTGACCAAATGCCGAAAGAAAGAATGCAGCGGTCGGTAGTTTGACGATCAAGAACTGCCCATGTGAGTCTGCTGCGCAATTTTCGTGCTAAGCCAACTCAGTTAAGGGTTTGGCCGCGGAGGCTTTGCAAAGACGCACAGCGGGACACGCGCTGCCATGGCATCAAACACTACGACACCCAGCAGGCTAAACATGGGAAGTCGTTGGGACACCTTTATCTTTATCTTGGCCCCTGTATGTTCTCCAATATTGGAATCCTTCTGGTGGAAAGGTTCCCACAAAGCGGGGCTCTGATTCTTGGAAACCCTGCTTATGTACAACCAACTTAATTCATCAAGGGGATCGATGTTCTCAACAGAGTTAGTTTTGAATCGACGTCTTGTCTTCAGCAATGGCGCATCGTGCGCAAAAACTTCTGACATCTTCTGACACCATGCTTGCAAAGCCGAGCTTGCAATTGACGAACGGACTTTCCCACTGCAGCTGTCAACCGACTCTTTAGCCCCTCCCAAACTCAATCACAGTGGGTCCGATTGAGCAGCAGTCGGCTGGACACCTTGGAGAAGGAGGCACTAAGGGGCTGCAGATCAGTACATCGTTACAGTACTTGACTGAGAACTTGTGCAAACTAAGAAATAAGGACGTGAGGGACTACAGGCGTCACTACGAGCGTTTTTTGAACGGATTATGTTCTGCGAAACATCCACGTGTGTCCTCGCTTTACAACAACTCTCTACACCGACGCTCACCGCCACAACAGTATTGGATTCATTCTCAGCAGCTACTCCCCAAGATGGTGCACCCCGAGGAACCTGGCCATATGCGGTAGATTCGGGAAGGTAACGACTTTCAAACGAAAGTGGCAGTGTAGTCGGGGGCCAGGGGTTGGCGGGGTGGTGAGGAGGGGACCTGCATGTACAGGATCAGGTTGCGCAAAAGCTCTCGAGGTCCCCGTGCTGAGACGCGAGCCCACGGCGCCCCTGCCTGCCAGCAGGTCCAGACATTTGCAAAGCCAGGGACTAGGTAGGCCTACAGTGGAATGCAAATAAGTCCATAAGCTCTTGAAATTTGGTCTTCATGCATCCGTTGGGTAATCAGAGGATTGTCCAACAAAACTCATCTGTCTCGTCTCAGGCCCCTCATGAATTGGAGTACAGCATTCCGGCGGGCGTAGGAGTGACGCCGATGTTTGTGAGAGTGCAGTACTGATGTGTGCAGCCAACGAGTGCAGCAATGACGGTGCAAGTTTCCAATTTCTGTAGAGCCTTGCCAGTCCTGTTCCAGATCGACAAGCCGTGAAACTTGTTGCTGTTTCTTTGAACTGCAGCTCAATTTCCATAGAAGGGTACATGTGGACCTTAAGCCGTATGGCGACTGAGGATCTTCGCAAAAAAAAGGAGTATCTCCCTCTGTCAAGGAGTAAGAATTCACGCCACGTCGTGAGCAGAACTTGTGGTGTGAACAAGGCTACAGGTCCACCGCATGTCCGGAGAAGGCAGCTGAGCTGCCTGACGCAGTTGCGCAAATTAGAGATTACCTCACCGTGCCAACTTTTTTCTGCACACGCAGCCTTTTCTTGGCTGCTCTGCCAAAGACAAAGGAACTCGCGCAAGGACGTTGCGGTGTCTTATCCAGTCTAATCTCCGAGCATGTGTTCTTAGGGCATTGGCGGAAGCAGTCACGAGTTCGCCCGCAAATATAGCTCCGCAAGGCAGAAAATCGACACTGGAGTTTGTTCATCGGGTCGTGTGCTGCTCTATTTGAGCAGCCAAGCCGCTTTCTACGAGCAGTATCAATTCCAACAACTTCTGATTTCAACGAACACGCATGAGGACTGTGATGGCCATCCCTGTCTACAATTTGAGAGCATCGAGCTTCAAGAGTATGTTCTCTTCACATGCCACCCAGTGAAACTGCTTGACCCACAAGCACGGAAACGCCCACTGGAATTGGACACAATGAAGCCATGTTATGTTTACGCATGCCTACCAGCCAACGATGTGACGACCTGCTAGATCATAAGCATGGCCTGCACAAATCAAATCCAGCGAAACATGCATGCAAAAGGTCAAACGGACTGAGCAGCAAAGGACTCATCGCCCCCTGGTCGTCTGGAAGTGCCTGTCCTCAGCGCAAGAACAGAGAGAGAGCCCCAGTTCAGGGACAATGTCAGCGTCTGACCCCCGTCAGCACCATGCACATCCTATTTCTCACAAAGTGTGTCTCCCTCGGCCAGGTGGCAGTAGCTGGCTCAGCGCTAGCAGTAACTCACCCTGCTGTAATGCACGTCCGCGCATCGCTTCCTGAATAAGCAGTCAGTAGCGAAGACCCCGGCGAAGACAACGACACATCAGCCCCTAAGCACAATAACCCATCCTTTCATGTGCAGCTTCAGGCAGTTTCTCGAACTGTCTCGTCGAGAAGACCTATCAGCCAAGTCTATCGCTCCCGATTTTTGCGGGAGACCTAATTATCATAAACCCTCATTGTGGCAGGAACCCTGAGATACGTCCTGTGCCTGTCATGAATTTGCCCTCCATACCACCAGCTCAAAGCACAACCAGGGATTCTGCTTCGGACTACGGCCTCCTGCTTTTTCGTAGGGATATACCTTGTAAAATTCGGGCCACAACTGAAGGCAAGAGCAACGTCCCGGGTGAAGGCAAGTATGTAGCTACTACGAACCTGTAAGCTTGAACGCTAAACCTAAACCCAAAGCCCCCCCTTTTTTGTTCTGAATCCCTTAGCCCTACAAGCCCGGTCAAGGCCTCCGGTAGCTCTGCGGAGTGCCGGCGTGCTTTGGACGCAAGGTCTTTAAGGCAATTCGTTAACCTTGCAAACAGAGTACCCATCAAGGAGGTTTTAGAAGGAAGGCGTCAGTACTTGGGAATCCCCAGTATAGAACATCTAATCGGGGTAAATGTGGGGCACACCGTTTCGGACATTCCCATGAGAAGAACCTAGAAATAAGCAGGATTGCAGCAAAAACAAAGCAATAAATAAACACAACCTTCGTGGACAGTGCCTTTTCTGAAGCACAGGAGCTTCGTGACACTGGGAACTGTGCAAATCGGCATGCACGCACATCCGCTCTGGCATCATCTCATGGGTGAGAAAAGGCGCCACCGGGATGAACATGTTCCATCTAAGAAGAATTCGATGCATTTCAGCCACTGGAAACCATGACTCTCGTTCACTCAGCGTGCTAGAAACAAAAATGACTCTGCATGCCCCTGGTTGGCAAACAGGGTGTATCATGACCCGAGTCTGTTGAGGGCATGTACTTGGAAGCTCAAGGACACCTGCTCCCCCTGACGGCATGACAAGTACCTGCATCTTCCAATGGAATACCCTTTGTGAAAAGCTCAGAGTAATCATACCTATAAATTATGGCAGAAACCAGGCAGAGCTACATCCGAGTGTCCAAGTATCTCTCCGACTATTCCCCTGGCGCCTCGCTGCAGTCAAGATGCTGTATGAGAGATAGCTTCATGTCTTGAGTATCCAATGGCATCTCTTGTGGGACATCCTGACTCTCCTGGAATGTCCGGGCAGCATCCAAGAGTTAGACAACCTGATTGAGTGTCCTCTGAGGGCTCTACGAGAGCACATAGAATTCTAGGACTTCCATTTTGGGAATGTTTTAAAGCTGCATCACAGATATGCCCTTGACACTGAGGATCAGCTCACCCTTGGTTCCTTACATGGTGATGTTTTTGAACCTCTTCTCAGGGAACATCAGGCCTTCTGATCAACAAGTGCACTTTCAGACTGCTCTGTTCCCAAGGGCACCAAACTCTCTGAACCTAAAACCCCAACCCAAGCCTAAGCATGGCTGAACAGCTCAAGCAAGGCTCCTCCCGTTTCTGTACCAGGCTCCTATGAGCAGCGGCTAAGTCCACAAAGGAATCCAAATCCTGGCAGAACCAAATTCAGGGCTTCGGGCTTGGAATTCACTTACATGGCCACACAGCATCGCAACGTACCCTTCCTGTCCACTACCAGGCCCACTCATTGAGAGGCATTTAGGATGGGCACCTCTTCAAGTACTGGCGGCACTTTCAGTACACTTCAGGGTTCAGGGTTTCGGGATTCGAGCTGAGGCTTGGGTTTTAGGATCCCACTCATTCAGCTTAGGTTTCGAAGCCTTCATGATCCTTGGTGGTCATTCTGAGACACAACAGCCAGGACAAGTGATCCACACCACATTTTAGCAAAGGACAGCTACTTATAGTTGGGGTCAGAACCTTGATGTTACCTTCGGATTAGTAAATCGGCTTGCAATAGAGCGAACTTTTGGCTGAACGGATTAAAAATAAATGGAGGGGTACGGAATAGAGCGAACTTCTCGCCAGATTATGCCAAATTGAGAACCGGAATGGATCCCGGCCAATCGAAATTCAATTGACAGGGCCCGAGACCCCCCACCCCTCCCAAATTTGCCGAAGTTCGGTTGGGAGTCCTGGAATATTTAGAATCCTCTAGTTGCTTTTGGGGGGGAGTGGAGTGTTTTGTAATCAGAACCCGGCTTTGTAAGCCGTCGCCCTCTCAGCCTGTTCTTCAGGTTCTGATCTACCAGACAGTTGCTGGTCCTCGACATTCCACTCTGGTGATGCGAGCTCTTGTAGGATGCCTCAAAACGTTCACCGCAAGAATTTGCATTGGTAGCTGTCAGCCTCGTCCGGCTAAAGGATTGCTTTGAGGGTTTCCAACAGCAACATGGGGCATTCAGGATTCGGGATACCGTGAATTGCAGGCCACTCCATTTGGAAGCTACCATCTCTCAACTCTTCACCCTCGGATTTCTATGACGGGGCTTTGCAACCAAGATGCCTTTATGCGTCTGGAGATCCACGGGCTCGTCCACCCTAATACCTCACCAGCGTCTTGCAAGTACAGGACAACGCACCCTTAAGTTGATCTTGTGGCAAGTACCGTAAGAAATAAAGCAACACTGAATGCACTATGACAAGATCTAGAACTAATTGCCTGTAGCCTTCACGGCATGGCTACGGCACTACAGCTGGACAGCCGCTGGCAGCATTCATGCTGATTGTCGCACTTTCAACACTCAAGTCAGTTGATGGCAAAGCTCCACACACGCGTTGCGCTTCTTGATAAGCAGTGCGAACGCTCCCAGGAGACGAAAACTGAACATAAGCTCGCTGCTTTCTTGGGACACTGTGACCTCACTTAACCCACCGGCCCCACCAAATCCCACCTTGGCCTTCAGTCCCCAAATCGGGACCATCTTTCTGACAACCCGACCCCTATCCACGCCTCGGCGGGCAGCCGCATCCACAGCTCTGGGACCCAATATAGTCTTGTTGCTCTGTGGGCTGACCTTGACAGGCAACGACTGGTAGGACCAAGAGCAGGATAAAGCGTCCTCTTACTGTGAACAGACCCATTTACCGGCAGTGGTAGTGCTATGAGCATGTAAGGATGCTGTACTAGGCATGGGTCCTCGCAAGCCTACCCCTATTTGAATGTGTAACTGTCATAGCAACGACGGAGGAGATGGCATTACGAACAGGTCTATAGGACGTGAGAACAACTGCCACAGTGGTAATCCTACGCAAACTTCAGGAGGTGCTGCCAGGATTCCAGAACCACGTCTGCAGCGGGCTCGTCGCAGACTTCAGCCAAATGTGTACTGGAGACCTGCAGTAAGTAGTTTCATGAACTTTGCGATATCCCTATGACTGCCACACCCAGCCTCATCATTCTCAACGACGACCTCCAATGTAGACGGAGCTGGTGAGGAAAACTTACGAGTTGATACCTCGTTGGCAGAGACTCGTGCGAACATACAATCAGGATGATGCAGAGCGAGCATGAAAAAGCGTCGTCCTTTGGAAATTCTTGTGGATTTGGTTGAGCCTTACTAGCTGTAGCATTGAAGAGGAATCCTTCAGTAACCTGCGTTGGGGGGGCGACCCGCGGCATGCATGGCAGCATTCAGCCCATAGCTTGCGACCCTAGAATACGACGTAATCCCTACATAGCCCTGATTTTAATTTCATGTTCCATTGTCCTTTCCTTTTGATTCTGCATTGTCAGTCACATTTGGGACCATCGTATCCCAGAAAAAGGGTCCAAATATTAGGCAAAGACCGGATTTCTGGTTTTTGGCCCTGCAGAGTCCAAAAATGGTTATTCTCCAGACTGCCTCACCCAAACAAGTATGTGTGAGAAAAAAAGCTTCCCCAACAGTAAGCCCCCGCAAAAAAAAAAACACTCCGGCCAGAAAAGCTCAAAATCCTGAGAAGTCTCGGCACTTTTAACAGGCCCAGCCTACTTTAGGAGGGCTAAAGTAGGATCCAATAGGGGGGTGTTCTGAAACTGTGAATTAGGCGTCTCCTGTATTTCCTCGTTCTTCATGGTTGTTCTTCTAGGGCATTATGAAGGAATTGATATCGACTAATCTGACGGGTGTCAAATCCAAATTACGCGTCTCCTTTATTTCCACCTTTGGTTGTTATTATGTAAATGAGATCTTACTTGCTTGAATTTACTGAGACTGTCATTACGTCTAATTAGGTCTTGTTAAGTTTTAGTGGAATTTCGAGAGACTGGAATGTTCTAAGCTAGGTTTTACCTGGATTGCAATGAGCTTTCAACTGATTTTACGTGGATGTGTACTGGATTTGGTTAGATGTTTAACTGATTTTGATTTCATAATCAGTTTCCATGAGGTGTCGGAGTTTCATGATATGATGAATGGATTCTAATGAAATTTTAAACCGGTAGACATTTTACTGTCTTCAATAGATTCCAATTGTTTTTTTCATTGGCTTTAATTCTATACCTGACCTTTTGTAAGCTTTCAATAGACTTTAATGACCTTTTGTAAGCTTTCAATAGACTTTAATGAAAAACTAGCTGACTGTCAGTTTACTCTATTTAGCTTCCAATAGGTTTTAAGCAGTGCACATGAGATTTGAAATTGGTGTGACTACTGTCTCAATGGATTTCGTTGAAATTCACGTCATTTTGATTAGGCCTTTACTCACCAAGGGTTTATTCGACTTTGAGCTGACTTTAGCCAATTTTCATTCGATTTGTTATTTGCTTTCGACTGTAATTGATTATGGATTCGATTTTTACATGTTTAGATGTTGATTGACTTAAATTCGAATGTAATTGATTCGGCATGTAATTCTTTCTGGGAAAACGGATCTACCCTCTGAAAGCACTTCCCTGATAAGACATACCCGGGGCGGGTGTTTAATCAGGTGGGGGGGAAGCGTTTGCTCATCAGAGGAAGTGATTAATTATTCAAGGTGTGCACGAAGTGGGGTCTGCTGTTGTTGGGCTGAACCAGCTGTTTTTTGAATTTTAACTGCTGGCGTGGCCTTTGGGTTGAACTGCACTTGGCCGATTTGGGTTGGGCCTTTGCCTCAGCAGGCCTTTGGGGGAATTCAGCTCACGGTCGAACACTGGAGTCGGACAAGGGCAACTTGCTTCGTAATACCTCACCTTGCCCCTTGCTCTTGACCTGGCAGCTTCGTCAAGCGCCCGAAGAGGGATGGGGTTTATAGCACCTACTTGTATGTTAGACTGATTGCTGCGCCAGGGGTGGGCATGCAACGTGGAAGCTCCAGGCCCATGTCCAGGGCTTTTTGGCCTTAGTCTTTACTCGTTGCCCCTCGTCACCTTGTTGCCACCGCAGACCTTTGGCCTTTGGGCTGCTTGTCCATGGCGAACACTGAGCATGGACAGCAGGCCTTCGGGCTGAAAAGTCTAAAGCATCACAGGTCAGTTTCTAGTCCTCAGCCTCTCATAAGTGTATACACATCACTGATCACCGCCGACCTCGCATGATTAGACGTCCGCTTCTCAACCCAATTCTCCAGCTTTGTACTGTGAATGTGACCATCATTTGCACGTGGCCTTTTGTCGCTTTCCCGCACTTTTGTCCGTTTGCATTCCCAAAAACGACCATCGTGAGCACCCGCTTTTGATTCATTGGCCGGAAGCCCAGAAAAGACATGGGAAGGGCTTTGGATTGATATAGATGTTCCGGTAGACCTACTCTTGTCCCTTGCAGCACAGCCGCTGCTCTCAAAATCGAGGGCTTCTTGCAGCTGAAAAGTACCAATTAATGGTTAACTATGGTTTAGACGTCAGGCCCACAGCTCACAGCTGCTTCCCCGATCACGCTTACGTAAAGCTGCTGCCATGGCACTGTTGTTCTTAGCGTCGACCGTGAAACTCTCATGCACATCGTACGTCGATGGGCCAAGTCTGCTATGAAGTCTGGCAGCTTGTAGGTTTCCGGCCTGCTGCATGAAGGCGCATGCAGTGTGGAGGTTGCCCAAAATTAGGGGTACCTTGTTAGAGGGTCCCCATAGTCAGGATAGTTGATAAAATTTTGGGATCTATATTGGGGTCCCCCTATTTTGGGAAACTGCCACATGAACAATGCGACGACAGTTAGCTTGCACATGGTTGAAGAGCAAGGGCTGGAGACAATGCAGGATGCCGGGGTGCTCACAACAAGGATATTTAGCCTCTATATGATCTATATACACATATATACCCTATTGTGTTATAGCAGTTTCCATTCTCGTTTTCCATTACCCCCATATTACCCTATGTTATATTATAGCAGTTTCCATGTTCTTCTTCCATTGTCCCTACATGACCCCCATCTTTAGGCGAGACTCGAGGCAAGATGCATCAAGCTCTGGTTGAACTTCTTCTGTATCTCCACCACAGGAAGATCATTGTAGTCTTGGCCGAAGGGCTGGTCAATCTCCTGTGCGATATAAAACCTGGGCCACCAGGGCAAAGTCAAGTGCTATTGAACTTGACCGAAGGCTTGACTGCATGGCTCCGCAGCTAACCAAAACTTTTCTTCTGAGGTTAGATGTTCACCTGGCCGCAGATCGTTCCAGCAAAGCTTGATTTGCCACACAAAGCTTGTGTAAACGTCTGGCTAGGGCTTCATTCAGCATTCAGTGAATGCAAGGCAGGCAGTAGAGAATGCAGCACTTCAAGCCAGCTTGCAAGAAGCATGTATGATAAAAGGCAAGGAGCAAGGTCCAGTAAGACGTTGAGATCAGCCAAACAGTCCCACCAGCCCATGACCATTCGGAAATGAGTTGGACGGCGACCAAGGGGCTCACCAGCCAGTGCAACACCAACATGAAGGAGAGGTACTGCGAATACGGAAAGGGAAAGGGGACCTCCACAATCTTTCGCAGCTCCGCAACATTGACCATGCCTCCAGATGAGTCGGACATGGTCCTGCTTTAGGGTTCCTCATCAGAAGGGTCGCTACTTTTACTCTTCTGGACTGCATGTAGGCCCTTAGGCACACAACCTGCCGGCCATTTCGCCGACCGTGCATGAGTGACCATGCGTCAACGCTTGCACGTAGTGCAAGCACGGCCACAGAAGTTGTGCCAAGACACCATTCGACAACTCCTGGAATGCCCGGGATAGCACAGGCGGTGCTACATCGAAGAGCTTCTGCTTCTCGCCCTCCACAATGAGGCGCTCAATCCAGAGCATAACAGTTTCACACCTTGGCAGCAGTGGCAGTGGTAGGGCCTCAGATGTCTACATGAAGAACCTTAGAGACCATGAGCATTGTCAGACCCAGCCTGTCTGGGCAACCGTGCAAGTACTCGACACTTTCGGAGCTCATGCCTGCCAGGTCGACCACTTCGATGTTCTCATCGGACAACTCTGCAACCTGTACAGAGCACAGCAAACCATGTATATACTTCCCGGCAAGTCGCCGCAAACGTTCTGTGCCTCGTGAAGAGCATAGCAATGAAGCAAGCTCATTAACCGAAGTAGGTATTCCCCTTGGTCAGGCCGCTTGTCAAAGAGTCAAGCTGGAACACCAACATCCCTCAAAGAGAAACTTTGAGTTGAGCTGCGAAAATGATTTACATCCGCTTCGCGGTCTTCGCTCTTGGTGCAAAAGCCCAGAAGGCTGCTAAATGCGCTGGTCCACTCGCCCCGAATCTTGTGCGTCAGCGACACCTTGTCTGATGACAGAGTGTGCTCAGAAAGAATATATGGAGGTACGTGTATGTACGGAGATACAGGGATCAGGCTCAGGGGCCTTCTTTTGAGAAAGAGTGTCTAGGGACTCTACACTAAGAAGTGCGGACAAGAAATCGGACTCTACTGCATGTATGGGCACATGCAGATGCACGCTAGTTTCCCACAATAAAGTCACCCCATATAAACCAGTATAGACCCTAAAATACAATAATCCTTGTTATAGGGGCCCCCGAAAACGTACCCTTAATTTTGGGAAACCTTAAACCCCAAATCCTATACACAGTAGTTTCCATGTTCTTGTCCCTTATCCGCGTTATATCCCCACAGAATACATGGAGACATGGCCCAAGTCTGGCAGGCAACACTGTGTAGGTTTAGGGTTTATGCAACCGAGCGGCGCTTTCCCAAAAGCGGGAGTACGCTTGGTTGCTCCGAAAGACAATCAGAAACCCGAGGATGAAGGTGTAGCCCGACCAAATGCTGTCCAAACCAGACGAATCTTTGAAGAAATTGATCATGTCTTCTCGCCAAAAGACGTGGATCAAAATCGTCCTCAGAAGCCAATGCATGACGCACTTCTCAAAAACAGCCGGCCAAAAACAACACCTGCCACCAAAGTGCAAAGCGCAGCACGGCACAGACCACACCATCGCCTTCGGGATCAGGAGTACTTTTCTGGGGCCCCTGGGTATATTTGGGGGTTACCAAAAAACCTACGTACTGTAGGAGTCCGTATGTGGGGAATAGCATCAGCATTGCCATTTCCTTTTCCTTGTATAGCGCCAACTGCCCTACGCACCTAACTATAGCTGCCCCTACTTACTGTGGGGCAGTTTAGTGCCCGTAGCGATTTGTTGGGTTTGCGGTGGTTTGAGGTGCTTAAGGAGAAGTCCTGGGTAGCTTTCTTTCGAGTTAAAGTAGAGATTCTTCTGCTTCGAGGTGCTATAGGGGGTGCTAGATAAAAGAATGGAAGTTGTACATGTAGGCTGTCAAGAACGCAGTCTCTCTTGTCCTCATTGTAGTAGGACAGCTATGACAACTAATAATTATTTAGGGCAACCCTTCGCGGTAACACTTGGAGCTCATGGCCTTCGGAACCACTGACCCATGGAGTTTGCAGAGCACCTGCATTCCCCAGCGTCCTTGGCTTCGGTCACTCAAGTAGGATCCAACTCTTGAAGTTATGGCAGCTAAGTGGAGGTGCATGTGCGTACAGGGGGTGCGGGCATTTTCCAACTTGCAGACACTAGTGCAATCAAGGCTCCATGGTTGTATTCGATCATGAATAACTGTGCTATTTGGCAGGACCTACAAGTAGTTGCCTTGAACTTGGCACGGTCCCCTACCTTGCCTCGCTTTGAGCCCGTGCTTCGCCAAGGGCAACACTGAAGGCATCAAATGGGGAGTTCATCAGAGTTGGGGCACCCTGGAACGCCAGGGGTTCTATGGGGATCAGAGGAGGATTATTACACGTCCCTCTTGAGGATAGTACAAGAAACAGGTGGCGGCTTCCAAAAAATGAAGTACTCCTATACATAGAACCCCACCCACCACCTCCAATATATGAATCCTTCGCATGGTAGAAACGCCACNNCCCCCCCCCCCCCTCACCCCCCCTCCAAAAAAAAAGAAAGGACACCACAAACATGCTCCCTCTTGTTTGGAAACCCCATGTTTAGAAATCCCCGTATGCATGATTCTACACGGCCATGGGTGCAGCTTGAGCACATGGCATCGTTTCATGGGCTTGCGAACAACAAGCTGGCCTGAGCAAGCAAGGAAACCAAGCGCGCGTACTCGTTCTTCCTGGAGACTCACGATGAATTCTGTCATGCACTTGTCGGTAGAGCTCTCTCTCCCCCTCACGAAGAAATCTGTGGCCTGGCTAGCCGCTCTTTCAAAGCAGCAAGCGTCGGCTGCATTTGCCTCAGATGAGCACGAAACCCGTTGAGGCAGCCTGAGGCCTGTACTTCCAGCTGAGGGCGGCGCTCTGAACACAAACTGACATGAAGGCCTTGCTCCTGGTACCTCCATGACAATGCATGCTTGGAAATATGGCTAGGGCACAGCTGGCTGCAAAACCCCATGTCTAAATGGAGCTGCTTTCTCGCGACAGTGCGTCCCTATCAAAGCCACGAAGCACAGCTGTAGGAGGTTCAGAACAGCCCCCTGCTGGTATCGCTGTGGCCCTTGTGGCTCCACTCCTACTCTTTGCTCCACACATGCACGGTCGGCGCCTCCGCCACTGCACTAATCAGTCAGCACAGCCTGTTTTCGCTTGCCAAAAACCTTCAAGCGGCGCTGTGGTGAAGTTTCTCTAACACGACATAAACCCATACAAAAAGCGGGCCATGGCTTGGGCCAGAGCAACAATAGAAGATTTTTTTAGTCATTGTAGTCAATACAACGACTTGTGGCCCAACGGAATAATGAGAAGGGTGCGGAATAGAGCGAACTTTGCCCCGAATCGGAATATTGGCGAGCTCTGAACTGGAAGCCCACGAGTCCCGCCTTTTGAGTTCCCCTCCAAACAACTCTTCCCAAACTTGATTGGGGTACCCCTTTATTTGGAGGGGGGAATGTTTAGAACCCGCCTTGACAAGGAATGGCTTTGTGTATTCTTAGGCAGAGCCAAGTCCTAGCTGCACATCGGTAAACTTGCAGTCTCCGGAGGCGCCTTTCAGCGATGGTGTGCAAATAAACGGAGGACTCGCGACCCAATTGGTCGACGTGTCCAAGCTTGAAACATTATGAGGATGAAGCATTCCGTCCACGCGAGAATGCAAAGCAACACATTTATGTTATGAAGAATACCAAATAGTGAAAGGACGCCATCGCCCTGCGCAGTGATGCTCGTCAAGCAAAGCTAGCTGCGCTGTCCAACTCAAGTGGAGGCTGCGATGCAAACTTCTTCGAGGGCTCACAAAGGCTGCCAATGTACCTCGCCCTCTTGTACTGTTCAGCAAATTTCCCCATAACACTTAGCATGTCTTTCTGCATAGCTTGCACGCTTGGTTGTGTGTAACTAACGTGCCGTGCCTTCTGGGGATCATGCTGGCACCAGACTGAGCCCTCAAGGGGTAGCAAGACGCAATCTGCGTAACACGCTCGCACCGCGCTGTACGCTGAATGCCTCAGCATCCGACATGAACGCTTACCAAAAACAATTCTGATCTCCGGTAAATCTCTTTACATGACATGACCAACATCACTAGTACTGGCATTGCAAGTGCACAAGTTCTGCTAGTGATCTCATGAATGACACCATCATCTTTCTTCGTGTTCATTGGTTCTACTCATCGAGCTGCGTCCTTTCGGACACGGCTCTCCTGTAACAGTGAGACTGATGCCGTCTTGTTGGCCCTGCTCTGTGCTCAGGCGTAAAGATTCACCAGAACCTTGGCTGGGTTGCTGTTAAGGAACTTAAATTAAGTTACCATAACGGTATATATAGTAAATAATAGGGTTCCCCCAATATAGTAACTTAATTTAAGTTCCTTAACAGCAACCCAGTTGGCGGAGCAGTCATTGCGTTTATCCTACAGCCACAAAAGTTTGTCCTCTGAAGATGTGGTGGACCCTTTAGCACTATGCCAATCTTTTTTCTCGATGCGATCGTCATCTTGCGGAACCACCGGGCCCAAGTACACTGAGGTCGGAAAGTAAAAACACGATGCAGACCTCTGCCAGGGAGCAAAAGCTGCAACATTGGCAATAAGGGCACCCATCTGGCCGCAGAATCCCATGTTTTCGGTGATCTCCTGGACCTTAGATCGCACCATCCTGCCACAAGTTACCTGGGACAGTCATGACCCTGTAGGCCCGGGTAGCCTGCCATTTCCTGCTGCCCAAGGCCGCGAGCATAGAGATACATGGTCGTAACCTTGCAGGCATATTGGGATAATAAGTGGGTAATATTGGGACACACCGAATATAACCCACTATGCTAGTTTCCATTTTCTTTTCCATTATCCCAATATCTATTTAATATTGGGGATAATGGAAAAGAAAATAGAAACTACTATATTGGTTTATATAGGGGTTATCCTTGCGACGGGACCATTGGCCAGAATCTGTCCATCCGAGCGCAGCACCAGTAATCCGCGGGAAAAATAGAACAAGCCACATATTGCCTGGGTTGCTGTCAAGGAAACTTAATTAAGTTACCATCATGAGTATATATCGTAATTAATGTGGTTTCCCCAGTATAGTAAGTTAAATTATGTTCCTGAACAGCAATCCAGTTGCGGGCAAGATGAATACCGCGAAACTATAGCTGAACCTGGGCACAGGGGTCGACATCTCGAGCTGACACTTCTGCACCATGCAGCCGCATGATCGTGGATGCGAGGAATTTCACTGAGTCTGCTGACCACATTGATGTGTCGTACACAGACGTCAGCAGGCATGCGGAGAAAGAAGCCTGGGCAAGCTATCTAACGGACAATGAAAAACCGTGAGAACATAGAATGGACCACCCTGCAGCACCGCATCCACTCTGCAGCTTCCCTGCACCAACAACCTTCTACCAATCAACACATCTCGTATTTCAGGGGATGGTTGAATTGACTTTCGCAAGGTCCGAGAACTTCCTTCATGGCAACAAATAGTGCGGAACGGAAGAGCACAGAATGGTGTAAGCATTGGGTAGCTACTATGCTCTTTGCACGGTAGGGGAACTCTGGTGGCACAAGAAACTGCCGCAGCAATCCCTCCCAACGTGAAACCTAAAGGAAAAAGATCTCAAAAATGCACTGGTTTCAAGATTTGATGCCAGCGCAGCTTCTTGATGCTGATGATGATGATGATCATGATAATGATGGCGGGAAGGGAATCCAAACTTCCAAACCCCAGCTCGCCTTCTTGGGTTGACCTCATCCCGACACTTTGAATCACTCACTGTCGTCAATCGCCAGACTGCGGACTGTTGCCGCCCCGCGTCATACTTGTAAACTAAAGAGCTGGCACCAAGCTACCTCAGACTCCCCCTCCGCAGTTTTCAAACCTGATCCTGAGCTCCGAAACGAAGACGTAAGTGATCCATCGTACTCATCAATCTCTAGATTGAGTTTATACTGGTATATAGATATATATATATACATATCCAATATATACATTTATATATATATACACCCAATAATAATGGGGAATCAAACGGTAAAGAAACTGGAAAGTGAGATGGGAGCTGCACAAGTCTACACTTCAGACTTCTGACTCCGGTCTTGTAATGGGGCCATCGCTTCTGTGCGTTCGCTGTAACGTTAGTTTACCACGCAGCGGCTGTTCCAAGAGTAAGGAATATGGGCTCATCGCTACCTAGACTGCTGTAGTTTCCCTTTCACGTTACATTATCTCTCCGTTTGATTCTCCATCAATATTGGATACATATACCCCTATAACTCCATGTAACCCTATATAGGGACCCACTTGTGGCAGTGTTGGTAGTGTCGAATGAGGCCCAGAATTGATGCTTCTGTGAGCGCTTCACTCATTTGTAGCACCGGTAAAAGTACTAAAAACGACGTCTCTGTGTGACCGCCGAACTTTCATCGTTTAATGGCGCTGGGTTTCTTGCTGCAAAACATAAGCAGCAAGCTTTTTGTTTGCTCGTAGCATGGATGATTCCCGGAATTGACGCTTCCGCGAGCCGATAAAAGGCATCGCGCTGCGATTCCTTTAGACAGTCTAGCATAACCTTCTCCATTACAATATGGGCTATAGTTCCTGACGAGGTAAATACACAAGACAAAAGACCCACAAAGCGAATCTGCATAGGTGTTGCGGTTGCTCGCGACAGGCTTAAGGAATGCCTTTTTACGATTGGGGCCGGTCTATGCCGGTTTTTCAAATGAGGACTTGCATACCGCATGAATCCAATTCCAGAACGGTCGGGCTGTGTCACCATGTTGAGGGTTCCTTGGATCTCTTTAAGAGGTGTGGCCGGGTCGCAGCCAGGCCATGATTACCTGTTGCCAGCTCGTGACCATATCCGCAAGCTTCAGGGAAATACATTCGAAGCACGTGTCCTCACATTCAAAGCTTGGGTGCATACCGTCAGAAGCAGCATCCACGTCAGGAGAACAATCCTCAGAGTGGCGCAGGAGGAGTAGTGGCAGTTGCAGTAACAAGGCCGTTGATCCCAAACAGGCTCACGCAGCCACAAATTGGAAATATACATTTAGATCTTGCAGCCAGCCATAGCAGGGAGATTCACAACAAAAAGCCATTGGGTGGAGCGTGCGAATGCTGCTCCCAGTGTCACTGCACTGTTGTCATTCTCAAGCTCTTTCTTTACAATGATGTATCGCAGTGGCACGGGTATGGATTTTGCGTGCGGTCTCGCATGCTTGCATGAATGGTTCACGGACTCTCCAAGCCAAGCATCTTGTTCCCTTGCACGAGAGCTGTTGCCAATCGCCCGACAACATCGCCTGATCAGACATTCTGCAACGCTGTTCAGTTGGAGCTGCAGACATCAAGCTATGCATCTCAAGAATCCTCTCCCCTTTACAATGAAGCGACCCATGCAACCACACACATACGTCTGGAGAGGCTAGTGTGACCATACAGGGAAAATTCAGTAGCAGGTGCGGGATGAGGGTGCATTCCCTTTATGTGAGCGCCTTTCTCATGCCCCCTTCATTTGTCCGCCCAAAACAATAAAACAAGACACAACATGAAAGGTCCCACAGTTTGGGCCCTAAACCCTAAACCCCGATGTTACTTCCGAGGTGCCTGAATTCTGCAGCACCTGCATAAACAGCAGCAACTGCTGGCTCTCCTTCACAGGATAGGTTCCCCCTAGATAGAATATGGGATATATAGGGATCTTATCACAAGATACCCAAAGTTATATTCTATCTACTTAAGCGGGACTGTAGGTTCTCTCCAAATTGGCGGCACTCTTAGGATCTCAGGGTTTTTTTCTTGAGGAATTGGAACAAGCTCGTTGGAATCAGCTCTGATGGAGTATTCCCCCCCCCTATGGGGGGGGGAGACGTGGGGGGGGTGGGTAATAGGAATAATTCCTATTTCCAAGTTTTCAAATGACGTGGGGGGGACCCCCCCACGTC